ATTTTGTGTGGGTCCAACCCAGGAAAAATGTAAATTATGGTAATTACTTTTAAAAATTTGTAATATTTAAAAAATCCTTGCTCAAAAACTATTCGACACTCAAAAATGAAACCATGCTCAAATTGTTGGAAATATTATGTACTTTAATTGTTACATTTGAGTAGTATTAAGAAAAATGCACTGTTAATAAGTTATAGACCAAAAACTAATTAAATACATTAATTTTTTAATATTTTACTTATTACGCAGGGAGCACAGGGATCTCGAAGCTGCAAACTTGGTTTTGAGTTACCCTAACTGGTCCCAACAACATATTAAAAAAGCAGCAATACATCATGCTTTGCAATTTTAGCCTCTTTTTATGTACGATTTGACTGGCCTATTGCTTCTAACTTGTTTAAGTAAATCTTTCCTATCAACCTACTTATGAAAACCTGTTGAATGATTTACAATAACGCTCAATTTGTTTATGATGGTGTATTTAGAACAGAGATTACCTAAAGTTGTGTTACCCTTCTCGGACAGATGTTGAAACCTTATTTCACAGAATAGGGTATGTCTAAAAAGATTTATTCGACAAAGTGTGGTACCATATTATGATTAAGATTATTTAAATTTGTTTTTGATACTATAACTACATTTAATTTCAAATGACATGTAGACCTACAACTAGTGTAATACGATTGTACGTTATAGTAGAGTTAATTCCTCTGCATGAGTAAACTGTAATCCGGGTTTTGCAAACAGTTGCTCTCCCCGGTGAATTTTAATTAATTGTTCCTACCCAACCCCCTTAATAACCCTTAACTCAGTGTGTACCACTTCCACCCTATGTTGGGCACCAGAATGGTATTTACTATAATTGCATAGAAAGTTGTCTATTTTAGTTTGTTGTTTAGTTTTGTTTGTATATCACTAGTTGTTGTTATTATTCTCTTGCCTTTTTCCATGTTAGGTTTAAAAGGTTTCTTCATCATACTGCAGCAAAAATAGCTGTTTTAATACATGCGTCAGAAATCAGAAACGTCTAAAGTAGCTATTTCCTGCTTAGGGAATAAAATTTAGCTGTTATGTAAACTTAGTTGTAAATTTCGATGTACACAATCGCATTATCGAAAGTTTGTATTGATTGTTTTAATCGGTTGTAGGTTTATTGTAGAGTTCTTGTCAATAGTTTGTATCTATAGCTGTACACTAACAAAATGGTAATAAATAGGAGAAATGATTATATCACTTATTAAAGAGCAGCTTATTTGAATTTGCTAAATAGAAAACCAGTTGAAAGTCGTTTTGAGAGATTATCTTTACACGAAAAGTATTTTTGTTTTTGAACTTTTTTTGCTTTAATAGTGTAACATGACGAAAGCATGGTTCATCACGTAGCCAAAAAGTGTATTTTCAACCCTCGCTCATTTTCTAGCCTCAGCTTCACCTTGTTTGTGAAACTTAAGCCAAAGTAAAAAAGAATCACTTTTGCCCTGGTTATGAAATATACTAGGCCTATTTCTTTCCATTATCCAAATGAATAAAATTACAAATAAGCAGTTCCTTTTTAATGGTAGGTTAAATATTTCATTCATTCAAAGACCTTTGAATCTGTACTTCTGATTTCTTCAACACAAGTTATGGTTTTGCATTGGACTGACATAGAAATGACCACAAATACACTGATAGTGCAGTGGTGTGATATTTACCACAGATGGAAGAGTGAAAGTTTAAAGGTCCAGTCATTATGTATTGTTATATTTGACCTTAAGTAAGTACTGGGTATTATAATGATGTGTGGATTATTCATGGACAGTTATTCTTCCAGGAAATAATGGACACTGATTACAGAAATCCCAATACGGGATCAGACTCTGTAAGAATGAGTGTCATTGCTTAAATTGAAAACCTAAGGAGGAAATTAGAAAGAATTTACTGTCCTCATAAAGTGAAATATCCCCGCTGCAGCAAACCTGCAGACTAAGCAAATTTCCATTTGCCTGATTGGATTTTCAATTAAATGTATTGAAATAACATTAGGTTTAACAAGTACCTAATTTTTTTTAATTAATAGCTTAGTATACAATTAATAAATTTGCCAAGTTTGATCCAAATAAATCGATAATCAATCAAATGACAACATTTTACAATATTCACCAGTTTTAAATTTCCGATTTTTGTATTCTCTCCGTAACCAATAATTGTAGAAAAACACTTTGATATACTACGCTATTTGTTTTTTAATCTCTTTAAAATTTTCTAGAGAGAAATTGGGAAATTTTATGTTTTGAGGGTCGGAAATGAGAAAACCCCATTTTTACTCCGTAAAACTCTGTTTCCATGATCCGATCATGCTGGTTTGCGAACTCATTGAGGTTTATCCCGGCATACAAATTCAAACCAAATTTCATCAAAATCAAACAAAAGTTACTCAACTATCTCGTTCACGAACACATAAATCTATATATATATAATAATGTATAACATTATGAACGGATGGTGTTTTTGACCTCTGGGGACATCAAAATGAAATAATTAATCAGTCCCGGGCCTAGGTCTTACCTTGAGACCTAGGGTAATAGCTCCTTCCCTATAGAGAAATTCGCTGAAAGGTGTTAAAACTGCTACTAAAGATTTGGTGTGAGAGGATTTAAATAAACAATTTTTAATTGAATAAAAACCATCCAAGAGTACGACACAGTTACATTGTTAATTTATAATCTTAAAAATATAAAACATGGAACCAATATATCTTTCCAATATATCTTGGAACCAATATAAAATTGCAACACATCAGAGGAAAATGACAATTTTGGCCTTAAATGATTCACTGAAAAATGTATTTTGTTCCTGATGAAATCTTTCTTTTTCTTGTTTGGTTTTTATTTGACAAGTACAGTAGTGGGTACTGAAAGTCAAATGTTATTCGTAGACTGAATAACATTTTGGTGAAAGTTCATCGAGCATTTTAAATCATGAAACTACATTGCTTGAACTGCCAATTTGTTCCCAAGTTTCAAATATTCTTTTGTAATTAGTAACTTGATTGTCTCAAAGTATAGGAGTGGCAGTCTTTGTTCAGTTAATTATCTTTATCAACTCAAAGAAAAGTTTTACAGTTGACTGTAACATGATCATTTTAATGGCTCAGTACACTTTAATGAGTTTCTCTATTGTTGTCTTTGCATTGAAGAATAATAGGTTGTAATGTCAATTTTTTTATTCATTGGTGTGTTGTTTTGTACAATAGTTATTGAATGTTAAATATGATATTTGTATAAGCCGTTAGATTTATAATTTAAATGTTGGCCTTTTTTGGTGAAAAGCTCATTGCAACTCACTTTATGGTCATAGGCATAACTAGGACGACCCTTAGGCGGGGGGAATTATGGGATAACTCTGGGGAAGGGGGGTCAAGGCTCTCCCCTAGAAAACTTTGAAAATTAGAACTTTAAACTCACGTTTTTAGGCAATTTGAAGACATATAAAGGAGATTTTTAATGTTAAAAAAATTTTACTTGTAAAAATCACATTTTAAGGTAAAATGGGTGTAAACCCCTGTTACACCACTGCTAATGGTTGCACTCTAAATTTGCGGTTTGGACCGTTTGTCATGCCTGCCAAGCTTTTATAAGACATAATTGGTTTTTATTTTATTTTTGACCATGTCTTTTGATATGTGTCATAAGCAATTAAGACTCAGAATGTTAGAATAAATAAATTTGTCAGAAGCATTACGTAATTTGTGAATCAAGAGATGGACTATTTATTCTTTACTTTGTATTGTAAGTAACTTAGCCTATTGCTCTGCTTAATGGCCTAATAAATCATTGAATCATTAATAAGTAAGAAGTTTAGGCTACATGCTGAAAAATAGTGTTACAAATATGAAATCAGAGGCAGGAAAAGCTATTGGTTAGAGATTATACAAAATTAGTTTTACATTTTCATCCCATGGCAATTTTAATAATAATTGGATTAATCAGTGAACAAATTGACTTAGCATTATGCCTGTCTATTTGTCCAGATGATGAACAAATTTAACTGAATAATTCTCTTTTAGTATTACTCATTGTGGGGAGCGAGCTGACGTAGTGGTTAGAGCGCGGGACTTCAGTCCCTGAGGTCCCGGGTTCGATCCCCGCCAAGTCACCAATTGATTTTATCTAAATGATAATGCCCCAACCCCTAGGTCTAGCCTGAAGTAATGTGAAAAACAATCCCAGGCTCGAGCGTCCTAGGAAAAAAAAGTATTACTCATTGCACGTTTTATATACTATGCAAATGTAGACTCTCTTGTAGTGAGGATACACCCAATAATGGCACTTAACTAATTTGGTAATTTTCAGTTTATCCATCAGTTGTGATCTCCACTAAATGATAATTACCGGTATGTCATTGGGTTATGAAATAAATTATTAGGCCTATGCTATCTTATAAAAGTTTAGTGAACAATTCCAAACCAGTTTGAGGACTATTCTTTTACATCACTCTGTATTCGAATATGGCCCATTTCCATTCAGCTGAGATCTTCAAAAATCGTCAATTTTCTTACACCAAAAACAAATAGTGATAAGCTGACTTTTCCTAACATAAACATTACTTTCGCTACACAAACAATACTTTACCTAACATCAACAAAGTTACAACTAAAGTTTTTTTTTAGTTTGTAAATTTTTTTAAGTTTGATGAAGTAGTTTTTTTTATTGCCCTATCGTAATTAATACTCGTCATGAAAGTCCCATTTTGGGGCAAGATAGTGTTTTACATGCTAGTCTATGGGGCTTCGGTCCCTGAGATTCCGGGTACAAATACCACCAATACCAATCCCTAATGGCTTCGTCTATGTGATGCTATGACTCTTTAGACCTAACCTAAAACCTGAAACAGGTGTAATGCTTCTGGGCTGTACCTACTAGGATTTAAGGTAGACTATGCTATAAAAATAAACTATACTGGTTCAAACCTAAGAAAATATTTGACTTGAAAAATATTGATACAATTGTTCGTTTCAGTGGGGGGAATGTCCCGGCCCAACAAGCCAGTGGTGCAGATCAAGAAGGTAGCACCTCCGGCCGTCCCCGACTGTCAGGCAGGCTTCAGGCACTCGGGTAGCAGCTTCGGGTCAGCCGGGTACAGCAGTGCGGGCGAGGACCACGGGTTCACGGACCCAGGCAGAGGTGAGCTAATAATCGTTAGGTTACATTAGTTTGTATGAGGGCAATGTTTTAGGTACAGAGGAAATACAACTATGGGACGACCATGCACTTTCAGTTCCAGTATGTTGTGCCAGAAATACACTTGGGACGAACAAGGAAGAGTCCGAGCAGCAAGCACCGTGTGGAAATTCCTATCGTGTCGGGCACAGGGTCTTCCTCCACCGTAATTGTTGTATTACATGAGGCGATTACAGTATAAAATAAAAATGAAGGAGGTGAGGTGGGCAGTGTTGGACTTTGCCTTAGACACCAGCACTAGTGCTAGACACCGCTTAAGTGTACCATTGAATGTTTCCTCTGTACCTTACTTCTCTCCGGGTTAAGTCATCTGGCAAAGTTAGGATAGGATTGCTAAAGGATTTGTACAATATTCTAACTGGTAGATTTCCTGACAAGGCTAGGAATGGTTTATATCAGCATTATGAGTTAGGGACATTACTTCGGGGTATTTCAACCCGGATGTGAATTGGAGACGGAGATGAGTATGGGAGAGCGCCGTTTCTATGTAGGTTTGTAAGTGACAGACATCAACTGTTTATATTGTTAAGCTACGTTTACATGAAGCCAGCAGGTGGTCAGGTTACCTACCTCAGGAAATGTTAAATACATTAATGGAGGCGGTAACCTACCTGTCATCTAGCCTTGTGTAACGTTGCTTTTGAGACATTTTTTGAAAGCCTAATGATCAAACACACTGGACCCAGTTTTGAATCTTAAAAAAGCTACAGTACTTACTTTTTTCAGGATCAAGTGGTCACCTTCAAAATGGTGGCAAGCACCATAACCATTTCGTTACCCAGCTTTGCTCTAACTTAGACTATTAACCTGTGGGTTTGAAATTTTGAGGGGATCAGTAAGTTGTGCCAACTTGTATCTTTGGTTATTCTTCAGTGTGGCCATTAGCAATACATATTTAGGAGTGGAAGGATGTAAAAAAGAACAGTTGAAAAAAATCTATCTGCAAAACAAAAGTTATCATTGAGATCGAGTAAAACAGAAGAATATGAGAAGTTAAGTATTAAAATGTAGAAAGTAACCTTTAGTTTATGAACACTAAATATCCCCTTACAAAAGTATTATACCTGTTTACCTATAAGCTAGGTCCAGTTTCAAGTTTGTACTGTAAATGTAAGGAAGAATCTGCCGCTGGCACTTATGAGATGTATTTGAAACAATTCTAACATCAATAAATAATAAAATAAAATAGAATAGAATAATGGCTGTAAAAGGATTTTTGAGTTACTTTAAGCATTGCAAATTGTTGAGAGCAGAAATTACTTCTAGACTCGCTAAATACTGATTATAAATTGCAAAACTGCAGATCAATGCTTTCACATTGAGATTGAGTCTTTGCCAGTTTATGGTAATCGGTAATTAATCACAACAATCGTGGTAATCTTGAAACTTGTTCTCCCACACTTGAGTCTACCTCCTCTACCTGGCGCCTCGCTCAAGGCTAAACAAGCTCTGACCTGTCAGAACATGTTTACGAGTGCATCTGATGTTTCAGATTTATAGAGCTAAGGTCTTGTCAGTAAAACAACTGTACATTTTATAGGGTTTTATAGTTTTTCAAGTAGTACCTTGGAAAAACTGTATCGTTGTTATTTCTTCCTCTATGCAGAAAAGAAAGAACACATGCCAATGTATCGTTTCTGTAAAATATAACTACCAGAACAGACTCAAGGAAGGTTTAGTCCTCTTGCATTTGCTGGACTACTGAACACATAGTTTATTTCTCAGAGAGAATGGTATAAATATTAGTTATGATTGTGATTTTCCATAATCTATAAAGCACTTGGACTAGACCATGAAAAAATATTGTGGAAATGAATAAGACCTCTTCCAAACTCACACCCCTTACACACATTTCCGTTTCCAAACACTTTGATGTACTTCATTCACATTCATCAGACTTTAATATGCAATTCATACTTGGCGGGAGTGTCAGTTTATTTTCTCGTCATTTTAAAATACTAAGACCAGACTAATAGTTCTGTAGGAAGGGGGGCGAGCTAGAATAGTAGTAGACGAACACAACATTAATCTTAGATCTGATCTAGCCTGCTTAGTTGCTATGGGAGCATGATGAAGAATTTGATTGGCAGACAATCCTCGTAAATTAGAACAGTTATGTTACCAATTACAACTTTGTAGTCACTTCACAAAAGTAACATCATGAGGTTTCTTGGCTTTGAAATTGTTAAGCTGAAGCAAGAAGTGAAGAAAATAAGTAACAAGAAGAGTCAATGGTGCGGAAATGTTTTGGGTTGCATGACTTGCCGACCATTAACAGAGCAAAACAACTGTGAACAGCCTGAGTGGAAACAGCTGTGAACTGGTCTGTTGTGTCTTTCTGGTCTAACTGCTGGAACATGCAGAATGGTCTTGTGGAAGCGGAACAAGCAAAATTATCATTCAATCTGTCATTTGTGTTTAGAAATGTAGGCTTAAGTATTACTAATCACATTGAATCTTTGACTAGGATAGAACTAGACGTTCCTCGTAAAAGCTGTAGCCAGTTTTATTCTAAAATTGGCCAGCGCAGGATCGAGTCATTTATAGGGCTACTCTCATTAGTTTTAATTTATTGTCCAATGTGGTTTACAGATGGTTACGAGGTTGGAGATGTTTACGGGATGGCCGGGAAATCTCCCGGAGGACAGTTCAACTATCCCGCCTTCACATTCCCGGGACCACAGGTATGAAAACTTACCCTCCATTATTTAGATTTTTAATTTTTAATGTGTTCACCATAGTTAATGATTCTATAATTTTTTTAACATGTCATTTCCCCAAAATTTACTTTGTCTGATAGTGTAGTAAATTTTTTTTCTTGAAACCTAAATGTTATATAAGCTTCTTTTGACTGAATTACAAACACTTTTGTTTTAAGAAAACCATTAGAATTTTAACAGACAATTTAGAACGTTCTCCTTGCAAACCCTTTTTATTCAGACTATGTATGAAGTTTTTGTTCTTTAGCATTTTTTTTTTATTGAGAACATTACACTAGGCACAGGAATAATCTTCAAGATCTAGTCAATAACAGATTTTTTTTTAGAAAATATTGTTATCATCAAAAACAAAATGCAAGACCATCTAGGATTCCTGGGTTATTCTCCTTATGATTTTCTAAATTTGTTAAGTAGGCTACCTGTAAAAAACCTACATTGAAAATACATCTTATAAACATCACTAAAGGGAAATTGACAATCTTTCTGTTCCCAATATTATCTTACTCACTTCACCTAGAGGAACAAAATAAGATGATAAACTAAAGAGATTCATTTGTAGCGGTGCAATAAAAGACGATTTCATGAAGTGGATAAAAGTTTAATCCGAGACGAGGTTAGGTTAGTTGTAATTCAACGATGATATTTCAGCGCAATGGGGTCATTGCGGAGTTTTGAGAAGAAATGTCATAAACTTTACTTCTCTTCTTTGTCTTTAAATATTCCCATTGTTTTATCCAGCTTCACTTGTGATTCACTCAGTAAAATCACTTTCTTCAGAGGTTTTTATTCAAACAAATAAATTCAGGTTTTTTCTATACACATTTTTTATTTAACAAGTTAGGTTTTGTTGTTCAAAGGATTATTGTGGACATTTTCCATTAGGATGGTAAAAAACAATACACAACGTTTCTGGATCAACAAAGACAAAGATGTTAGGTTTTATTTTACCTCCTACATGTGTTATTAATATGTTGATTATTATATTCTGTTTAAAGAGAAATAAGAAAAAAATGTTGGTACCAGTACAATTTATTATTTTATTATTTTACACTGTGAGAAAAAAATAATTTAACTATAAAAATGTGTGCCAGTTATTATTCCAATCCGTGGTAATTTGCTCATGCTATGCACTGAATAAACTTATTTCAGTAATGGTAAACTTGACAATAATAAATAATATAAATATCGTAAGCAAAATTCAAATTACAAAAAAGACCTGTAGCTTGTAAAAAAGTATTTTATATTAGTAAGTAGAGTTTATTTTCTCTCTCTAATCAATCTTATAGACTAGACCTTTTCATGCTTGTATTGCACTCAAAGTTTGATTGACTTTCAAAAACCATCATTCAAATCTTCAAGTTTTGACTTCTTGATATGACACTTTGGCACTCTTCTTCTGGATGTTTTGTTATCAGTTTAAACATGCTTAGAGACTTTTAAAGTGGTTAGTAAACACTGTCTAAACGTTTGACACATTTGTTTAACTAATCTTTCTAATAGCCTACATTGTTATTTATCAAGAAATGTTTGTTAATAAACCATGTATGTTTTCTCCCTCGTTATTGTTTGACAACTCTTTTGAATATACTTCTTAAGCCTCGGTCCACATTTACTTAAACAACTTGGTTTATTTATATTTATAAATAATGAAGATGAAGAAGTGTTTTTGTAAAAAAAAAACAATGGTCGCAGACTGTGTATGGTTGACATACTGTTTATGATTAATAAAACTAAAACTTTAAATAATTTTAGTAAATATACTTATTTATATTATTAACATATATAAATCAATAGTGGTTTATTAACACTAGCTTGTTTGATTTTCTTACCACTGGCAGGGAGTTCTGTTAATAATTCTGGTACAATCCAGTAAAATGCATTAATTCATTAACTAACCAAAAACCCTTTTACGGTATTAAACTAACATCTTCAATTCACAGTTTATTGTTTTGCAGTAAAAAAAAAAATAATAGAACAAATGTCTCAAGTTATTTTTCCAGTTGGAAATAGTTTAAAAGTTGTTAGAGATATTAAATTACAGCAGACTTTATTTTTATTTACAATTTTTTTATATTTTTTTTGCTAAAAGAAGCTATATTTGTGTTTAACATTATAGAATGAGAATGTCTTTTTATTTCACATTGTTACCTATCAATCTGTTGCTATCAAAATGTATGAACTGTGGTTAGTTAAAATTGTAGTTAGAGTATTTAGCGTATTTCTTTCTAAATTTCTCTCACCCTTGGAAAAACTTAAAAAGATGATTTTTTCCCAGTACACCCAGGTAACCGGGGGCAACAAAAGTGCGATGTACTACCATCATCAACTGTCTTTACAAGAGGACCAGGGCATTGACATGACTCAGGTATTTATTGCTTAACTTCTAACTTATAATTGCGGTTGAACATGTTTGAACTATTTATTTTTCTTGTGAGATTTCAAACTAAACCATCCATGCCAGAGTCTAAGTATAATATAATAAGAAGGCCAAAGTAATGCAGAAAAATTATCTTAAATTGGCATCGCAGGAAATACAAATTGAAAGTAAAAGGCATCGGTTGCAACGCAACTCTAAACTAAAGGTGAATTAGAGATATTATATTGGCAATACAATTAGCCTGCTGTTCTAAGACATAGGTATACCAGTAACAAAAATTATTTTTATACTTCAATCCCTATTTTTTAACATTTTCAAACCAATTTCCAACTAACAAACCAACACTTCCAATCCTCTTCAATAGATATGGAAATGCAAATTTTAGTAAATAATTTCAGAGACTTGCCTTTCTCTAATGTGTGTGCATTTTAATATCCTTTAATATTATGTTTTGAAATAGATGTGACATCGTAATTATTATGAGGAAAACCAAACTGTTAAATATTACAAAACTCAACAATGCTACTATGCCTATTTTTGCGGTTTTACTTGCCTTTTAATTCTTCGCTATCCTACTGTATATTAATATTTTACCAAAATTTCATTCTACACTTTCCGTTTTTGCCATTTGCTCCTTGTAACTAATACACCGCTGATAACTGATGTAGCCCCTTTTTACTGATGTAGCCCCTCATCACTGATATAGCCCCTTTTTACTGATGTAGCCCCTCATCACTGATGTAGCCCCTCATCACTGATATAGCCCCTCATCACTGATGTAGCCCCTCATCACTGATACAGCCCCTCAACACTGATGTAGCCCCTCATCACTGATATAGCCCCTCAACACTGATGTAGCCCTTCATCACTGATATAGCCCCTCAACACTGATGTAGCCCCTCATCACTGATATAGCCCCTCAACACTGATGTAGCCCCTCATCACTGATATAGCCCCTCAACACTGATGTAGCCCCTCATCACTGATATAGCCCCTCAACACTGATGTAGCCCCTCATCACTGATATAGCCCCTCAACACTGATGTAGCCCCTCAACACTGATGTAGCCCCTCATCACTGATATAGCCCCTCAACACTGATGTAGCCCCTCATCACTGATACAGCCCCTCAACACTGATGTAGCCCCTCATCACTGATATAGCCCCTCAACACTGATGTAGCCCCTCATCACTGATTTAGCCCCTCATCACTGATATAGCCCCTCATCACTGATTTAGCCCCTCGCCACTGATGTAGCCCCTTGTCACTAATGTAGACCCTTGTCACTGATTTAGCCCCATGTTACAGAGCCCAGGCAGAGACAGTCCAGGGTCCAGTGGTAGTGGATCGCGCCACTCCACCGCCTCTCTAGACAGTGGTCGCGCCAGTGGTTGTCACCTTGCGCCTCATGCTCACCCTCGGCCCAGCCTCAGCTCCAGCAGCGTAGGCAGTGATCTGGTCGCCTCAGCACCTGCCAGGGTAGAACGGTTACTGCTGCAGGGTGTACCGGTCAGTATGACAACTATTGTTGTCATTCAAAAGGTTACCTATATTTATAAATATAAATTGTTTAGATCTGTTTGTCTATTTACTGTTATGAATTAACCTGTTTTCCTTAGTTTGGTGTCAATTTTTTTTCATACACAGTACTAATTACTAACATTACTAATTAATGTTTAAAATAAAAACTTAATTAGTTAATTCAGAAGAGCCAGAGATCAATCCATCATCCATACTGTGTGTGTTCTTTCAGCTGTGAATTATTTGTTTATGTACAACCATTGTCAATTCAACCTGATTCAAAGTACAGAACGAGGATTTCCTCTTAAGTGTTCATACCATTCAGGAATGGAATCTATTCTGGACTTGAAAAGGCTTGAACCATCAGCAGATAATGCAAAAATGAAAGGAAACCTTTTGGATAAGTTAACTAAAGGAATATACTACAAGGTGTCACAAAAATGCATAGCAGGCTATGCAGAACTTCCACATACAACAATATTAATTAGATGAAAGTCAGGAATAATATTTTTCCCAAAATCGCTTTGTTATCCAGATATCTGCTATTTTAAATTTCTCACATAAACATTTTTTATCTTTAGATTGTTCCATCCGATTCGTATGAAAGTTTGTTTGTAGGTTAAGGTAGAATTGACCCATGTGAGGAAAAAAATAATTTTCACATGAATCGGTTACATGGAGGTTATGATGTTCCTTTCATAAGGATCGGTTTGAACAATCTAAAGAAAACATGTATAAATGTAAAAAATACAAAATAGCGATATCTGGTTAACAAAGCGTTTTGGAAAAAATGTAATTCTTGGTTTTCATCTTATTTTTGTATGTAGAATCCCGCTCTGCATAGCCCGCTACGGATTTTTGTGACACCCTGTATAAACACATTTACGTGTACTGGAACAGGTTAACTCATCTACATCGTTGCTTTCAGTATTAAACTGCGTCATATTACTGATACTTATGCTGACGTTCAGTCTCGTTGCGACATAACTCTATCCTGCAATATTGTTAACAGCGGATGCCTTATCTCTAGTTTTAGTGACCTGTTTGTTGTTTACTATGAAACAAACTGATGTGAGCGTACACGCTTGACAACTTAGTTTGTAATGTGTTTGCAACTCTGTCATTATCATAGGACCAGGACGTACTGCATGCGTGGCTGATGGACATCCGCTTCGAGGAGTACTTCCCACTGTTTTTGTCGGCTGGTTACGACATGTACACCATCTCCAGGATGACACCGGAGGACCTCACAGCCATCGGCATCAAGAAGCCCAACCATCGCAAGAAGCTCAAGGCGGAGATCGCTCAGCTCAACATCAGCGACGGCTTGCCTGACTACATCCCTGTGAGTTTCAAGAGTGACAAAGCTGATATAAACCCACTGAAGGCATAACAATTGTATCTATAAATAGGAGTGACAACGTAAACATTCATCAAAATAAAGTGGCAACTCAGTTGCTATCTCAGTGCAACTTATTGTGCCTTACTTAAACATAACTAAATGTTTGAGGTTAAGGAATAAACAGAGCACCTTGTTTTGGGATTTATTTTGTGAGGATAGCAAACTTACCTGGCTGGGAAAGAGTACAAACTGGCACAAGAGACACACAACTTTACAAGATAAACACATAACATTAGAATACTTCACTGTCACTTATAGAATTTTCAACTAAGGAAGGATGTTCCTGGAGCTACTTTCTGAAAACTTTCTCTTTCTTAGATGAGTTATTCTCAATTGAAGAAAAATCTTCCTTCCATCTTAATAAACCTATCTTGTTTGAAAATCCTGTTTGTGGCAGTAAAATCTTTCAATTACTGTGTATAATTTAATTGTTTCATGTTCATTGTCCCAAGGATGGATTCTTTTTGATGAGACAAGCCTGCTATATAACAAGAACAATCCTAAACATTTTTACATTGGTTCATACTTTGGGTTACATTATTCGCTCCATACTCCTATATGAAGAGATTCAATGAATAGTTTGCTGAACAGTATAACTTATTCAGAACCAGGTTTACAAAATATTTCTCAGTGTTCTAAAGTTGCAGAACTAAGTTTTAGTTTCATTATAAGTTTCTGAAGCAAGTGAAGGTAAATGGACTTAAGTAAAACTACTGCATAATGTTGAAACTGTTTAGCGACGTTTTATTCCTTTGTGTACTTTTCAGCTGATAAAGTTGGTTTTTCATTTTTTGAATAGTGAAAAACTAAAAGGTATTCATTTAAATGAAAACTTAATCCTTTATTCATCCATGGTTCAGAGGCATCAGGTCCAATAACAATAATCAATTATCTCCCATGATATTATTTTGATAAATTTTTATTGTTTGTCGATAAAAACCATAATTTTATTTTAATATTTTAACAAATAATTTTATCTTTTAAATGTTGTTAATTGTAGCCTATATAGTCTAATATTGAGTGCCATATACCCTATATCACTTGCCAGTGAGTGATGCTGCAGCCAAAAGACTAAAAGGTTAATGCCGACAAGAAATACCTATACAAACCCAGACAAAATGTGGATGTTATATAATTTATAAAAATTATAAGTCTCTCTTGATAACCTCTCCAATCATAAAGTTTGCAGTGGATAATGAATAAACAATAAGGATTAATAATTTAGGATCAAACCAAAATTATTAATCTACAAATAGCTGGGTGCTAAGTGGTTGGTTATAGTTCTTGTGTGACAATGTAGAGGTCGCTGGATAGAGTTTGAAGAATTTTTAATGGTATGAAACCAAATCCAGCTGTCATTGACCATTGGGCTTTTATTAAATGGTCCTCAGTGGTTACAAACACCGATCAACAATCTTTTTTCTACACACACACCCTGTCTTCATATGCACCTTAATATGCACTAGTTTTTGCTGTCTCAAAAGTAAAGATAATGATAATTACCAGTATATAATGAAACAACTATATTAGGAGTTAGAAGTTGAAGCATAATATGATATCCAACATAATATGAAACAATATGGCTTCATTTCCACTTTTACTAAATCGATTGCACAGTAGTTTTAAAATAACAATTTTTCAGGGTTCACTAGAAGAATGGCTGAGGCTGTTACGACTGGAGGAGTACGGCCCTGCGTTGGCTTGTCAGGGCTACAACACGATAAACGACGTAACACAACTTACATGGGAGGACCTTGAGGACATCGGGATTGTCAAGCTCGGCCACCAGAAACGGATCCTGCTCGCCATCAAGAGAGTCAAAGACCTCAGAGCGGGAAAAGTGTTCCCTCCGCCTCACACACCTGTGCTCCTGCCTCACAATCAGGTTGGTAACACTGTTGTTTTGTGGTTAGGTTAGGTTATGACAAAGTGGTTAAAGTAGTTTATAATAATAATATGGTTAGATTAGGCAATGCTAATGATGTCAGGTTTGGTTAAGCTTTAGGTGAAGCGATTAGGTCAGGCTTATACTCTTGTGGTTAGGCTATAAATATGTTGTGAGGTTATGCAAATATAACTAGGTTAGGATAGGCTATTCTCATTTGACTATGTTAGGTGAGATATAGGCTTTAAACACTTTATAAATCACTTTTAATTTATAGTACCACAATACTGTTAAAGTCTTTTTAATTAGTTCATTACAATTTGAGAAGTTCAAAATTTCAATTTGTAGAGCTATGTGTAGAACTTTATGAGAGACAGTTAACAAAAAACCGTGTTGATGTGTAGAAAGCTTAGAAATCAATTGTCTTGATGTAGATGGGGATAGTTTATACTTCTAGATTGTAGTAGTGTTTTAATGAGAGTACGGTTAGTATGTAGGCAATAGAAAGGTAAGTAGTCAGTGTATACACTCCTCCTCTCCAACGCGGAGCACTTCATACTGAAATAAATTTACAATCAGAATATTCTTTGTAAAATTTCTTATGCATTGACTTACTGTGTATATCTTTGGATGGGAAAAACAAGATTTCTTAGAATTTGTATGTAGTCCTCAATGGCCCCACTTGTATAAATGAGTTATATTTGATAAACATACTTATTTTCAAACTTTAAAGTTTAAATTATAACAATATTTGTCTTTATCAGTTGTCAATTTCAGTCACCAGTGACCGAAAATTTAAGGGGTTAGTTCAATTTCTCATTTATTTGAAAAGTTTTAAATATTTTATTATGTATGAAGTGATCTGAGAAAATTCTAGTTAATGTCCCTCATTCACTTACTACCTTTCTCATTATTTTATTTACAAAATATTTTCTCAAATGCCATTTATCACAGATTACTAGGACATGCTTATTGCTTATAACATTTGCTTACTAAACTGTTTGAAAAATTTTGCATTTTCCAATTGCTTATAACCATGTTTTCTAACAGATATTCATTACTAACACCGTTCAGCGAAGCATGATTTCAATAAGTAACAAAAACAACTTAATAAATTGCATGAGAAATTTGTTAACATGAATTTATTTTCTAATTTTTATTCAGTATTTTTTCACAGAATTTTCTTATAGATCAAAAACGATTTTGAAGTTTTTATCTTGACAAAGGTTTCTTGCAAATTGTAACATTAAAAGTTTTGATTAGTAAAGAGATTTTGATTTTAACTGGCAATTTCTTCAGTATTTTTATTATTTGCGTTTCTTTTACTGTACTAATTATTTTGATTGGGACTTTTAATTTGAAAATTGTAACTAATAAAGCAGTAAATGTTTATATTCTTTGGTTTAAAAATATTGTAAAAAACTTAAACTAAGAGAACTGGCCAAAATTATAATCTTAGGCAAACAGTAGTTTTGCTATTTACCTTTATAATACTTTTGCATGTGTGTCTTCCATATTTAAAAATACTTTTAACTTTTTATCATTATAAAACATCATTCTTACAAAATATCAGTATCATTATCATACATATCATACGATTTCTATTTTAAAACATTTTTGTATGGTCATGGACTAAAAGTTTTTGCAATTTCTGTGTGTGTAATTATCAATCAATATGGTTTAATAGAATTTAATTTTGGTATCATTATCAAACATCATCACAGAATTTCTTAGAATTCTTAGATTTCTTACAATTTACTGTATTTTAAAAGGTTTTCGATTTATAGAATTTAATCCATATCAATTTTACTATCACATAAAACATTTACTAATAGAAATCTATTAAACAAGTGACTAGTCAAGACAATCTTAACCTAGAATGCAACCACAGAAAAGTCATGCCTGAACTTAAAACTACTTGTAGAATAATTGAAAACTACCAAAAACTTTGTTTCTCAGTTTTGTAAAAAGTTACTTGTAGAGTAAATTTGTATTGGATCATTTAAAATTGGTTATCATTTTTTTCATCTGCTTGCGTTCATAATTAATATATTGCCATTTCCATCAGAACATACATTTTGCACTTTATGTAAAATTTTGCAACAAAGTTCCTCAATTAATTTTCTTGGTTTATATTTTTCTTTGACACTTCACCAGTTGAATGCAGACCTTATTAGCTGCACAGTCCAAATGTTATACCCTTGTTGTTAGCTTTATATTCAAAGTATAAAAAGGTTTTGTTGATATTTTATTGCAGTACATTTTCACAATTGATGTGCCTCTCCCCTTTTTACACTTAAGTCCACAAAATTGTATTTCTTGTTAAGCTTAAAAGGGCCACTGCTCATCATTATGCTTGGGCCGGTTAGAAAATGAGGGGTTTTTTTTAAGATTAAAAAAAACTAAATTTGTTGTCAAAATAATATTTAATGCTGGTTATTTTAATATCCAAAAATAGTTTTAAAAGTTCTGCTTTTGAGGGTAGTTTGTTTATTTCATTAAACTATGAACCAATTTTGTGGTGGTTAATGTTATAGGTAGAAAATTAGAAGCAGTAATTTTTGTTTGTTGTTGTGCATTTAGGTACTTTTGGGAATTTTTCTTCTATTACACTATCTAGTTTATAATAGTGTGGAATTTATAATAGTTTATGCTCCCCAAGAATTAAACCAAAATTAAGTATTTTTAAAAATATTTACACACAACCAAATGGTTTACTGTATTTTTATTTGTTAAAGTATTGATTTTGTTTAGTACTTAATCTAAACCAAGCCAAAGTGATAGGTCAACTTATATATATTGCAAATCGTAGCATCTTTGATGTCAAGTAAACTATCCTATTAAATACACACTAAAAACTAAATTAATTTTAGAATGTAGCACTCTCTATAAGTGGTTTATACAACTGCATTTTTTATTTAAAAAAAAACTATTTCATATGCCTACTCCAGAATCCTAAAGTTGATCTTAACTTCTAAAGTTTTGACTTTTGGCCCACTTAATCTCTCAAAATATTAATTTATATTAGCTGATAAGAAATTTACTTAAAGTACTTGATGGATAAGTAGCCTAATTTCATTAATTTCTAAAGCTTTAATCCCATTAAATCTATAAAAATAGTAACTAGCTATCCCTCCTAAACTCTAAATCCCAAAACAACTAAAGTAGTCCTGTACGTAAAATTTAGCTTGTTAGCTCATGTTTAAAGTCAAACTGCTTTAAATACTAAGGTATTCACCGTCACCAAAATGAAGTTCAAAAGAAAAATTAAATTAGGCCTACAAGTGTAGGGTTAAGTGGGTTAGTCTGCCATCCCAAAAAAGGTTCAAACTAAGAACTAAATTAGGCCTACAAGTACAAGGTTAGGTTGGGTTAGTCCAAGCATGTGATGAGAGTGGTTCGGCACTGCTCGAGTGACCGAGTGTGTAGTAATGTAACGTATGCGGCATGTGCATGCAGCAGTCCCCAGCCCCTGCCAAAGAGAGTGACTGTGACTGTCCGCGAGTACTTGCCAACGTCAAGAGCTTCCACCAGCCGTGGGAGATAGAGGCGTCTCGTCGCTTCTACTGCACTACCGACATTGTGCCTATCAAGGTAGGCCTAGGCTTGTTAACTTATAGTTGATGGTTAATGTTCGCCTTCAGATATGAAGGTTGCTGGTTTGATTCTAAGGTTTGTTTTCAGGCCCTATTCTAGGCTATCAATTATTGGTCCTCTCCAAGGAAGAGGTTTGATGGTAACAAAACCAGGGTTTGGACCAGTCCCTTACATAAACCACTAGTGATGGGGAAGAATATGTGTACAAGTGTTATGTCCCTTAAACCTATTCCCTGGCCTAATTGCCTATAAACCTAATTCAATTCCTAAATGTTAATGAAATTTAGAGGATTCAAGATTTTTGCTAGGCTAGAAGACTTGAATGGGTAAGGGACCAAGAATCACAAGACTGTACTAAACAGTGATTTAAAATTTCACCACCTTTTAATGAATTTTTGACCCAGGAAAGTTTAAGGTAAGTAGAATGATATCTTTCTTCGCCTTTAATAAGAAGACAAACACCTTTATTTTAGTTTAAAAGTGAGGGTGAAATATTCTAATTTTTGTGTATAGTGTACAGTTTTGTGTTTCTTGTGTCAGAAAAGCCTCTTCCTCTTTCAAGTAACCCTGCTATCCTCCCAAAAGCCCTTGAGTTTTACTATATCACCTCCTTAAATTGAGCACAACAGAAAGAATCTCAAACTGAAATTCAGAGACACGAAGTCCCTAATTACAGTACCGTATTCCCACCTAAATTGCCTCACAGTCAGTCAACAAGAGCCTGGGAGTTCCATCCCCAAATTAAAAGATCGCGAGTCGTTCTCTTGTATATTGCTTATCTTGAAATTTCTTCTTGACCTTTTATGTAGGCTAAAGTTTACTTTGCTAACATTGTTTTACGTTGTTGTAGTCCTCAAGAAATTCCCTTACTTGACTACACCCTGAAAGATCAATCCAGTCTTAATCCTGTTACATTATCTTTCTCCTTGCTAAATTGCTCTTCAAACCGGAATCCTCTAGAAGAGCTAGTTCTGGTTTTATGAAAGGAGTAGACTCCTCCCAACTGATCTAAAACTTACTTGTTCCTTATCCTTCGAATTTGGTTTTGAAAAGCTTTTCCAGAGTTAATTGTCTTTTGGGTGGTTAGATGTGTTTGAAGTGATTTTTTAAGTCTAGTAAACATTTTGGTTTACTATTTAAACTGGGTGAAGATAATAATAATTACTTGTGATAATAATGAAAGGGTTACGACGTTACCAAAATTTACCGCCGTAATAATAATATAATAGGCCTACTCAATTAACCAAATTTAGATTACTATCAAGCTTTCTAATAGGCTCAAACAATAACCAATGAAAGACATTATTCCAAATAGCCTAGGTTGTTGTACAGTTGCAATAAACACCGATCCTCTTGACGCTTTGTAATTTCAAGGTAATAATAATTAAAATTCTAATAAATACCTCTCTAATTAATAGCAAATTTAAGTCAAATTTCATTATTGACTAAGTTGAGATAACCTACAATACGTACACTTACCGTTTCGATATTATAACGTCTGCCGATACAACTTTTACTTTCATCAAAGGCCGTAATTAAATTAGACTCCGACTAATCATTCTTTTATTTAAATTATCCTATAGCTGTGATTTGTTTTAATTACTGTAAGATTGTTTAAATTCATATTAAGAATAACTTTATACGGATGCCTATTTACAATCATCACTAACATAACCTCCAGGACATGACATTTGACAGACATCGGTACCCGGCCCGGTTTGAGAATTGAGTAAGAGGAAGTAAAACAATCACATTACGTCATATAGTTTTTTCTGCGCGGTACGTACTCCGGTATCATGGCAGGGCGGGATTTTTGAAAGAGAGAAGACTTCTCTCTTGTTAACTCGGCTTTTTAGCTGGAAGAGTAGAGTCCTCAAAGCTACATTCGGCAAACACTACACTCGGCTTTGTGCTGGAGTTGGTAAGAGCTGAAAGTTGGCAAATTAAACTACATATTAGGGTTTTTATTAGCTAAACTTAATTTCTTTCTCAGGGGTTACATTATTGCGAGTTAGGGAATTCTTGAGTCATTAATATTTTGTGATATAATTTAAAGTAGATTTTTTTTCAATTTCAAGTTAAATATTTATGAATTGTTAAATATTTGCGAATTGTTAAGTGAGAAAGATCACTGTGATAATTATTTAATAAGACTGAATGTTAGATTTAATAGATTTGTTGAATAAATATTTAATTGTTACAGCATAAACTCTTGACTTATTATTGTAGGGACACGCTCTCATCTCTCTAAATAAAAATAAAGAGAATACAATATAAGCTTTGATTAGAAACAACCCCACTCATTAAATCGGCTGGCAAAGAACCTCTCCCTGAAGGTAGCTCATTGCTCTACAAAAAATAGCTAGGGTAACCAAAATAACCAATATTTTGAGTTGGAGTGTTGTAAAATGGCGCCCAACGTAGCAGCCGATTAACCAACGTAGTAACCGTACGGAGTAACCAACATAGAAACTTAATTAAACTAACATACTTTGAATGTCTAGAATCTGATAAATAGGTTTATAAATAATAATGGAAGACAACACCAGTCAGTATAACTTGCGTTCGAGTATCAAACCGAGTAATAAATTATTAGAAAGTAAGGAAGCTTTTGAATTTTTAACAAGACGAAATCCAGAGGAAAATCAAACCATCACACAAAAACCTAGCGAAATTATAGGTCAGGAAACACACCCAAACTATGAAAATTCAATCCACGATAGTGACAGCACTAGCAGTGAGATCTTACAAATAGAGGGGACAGATGGGACGATAAATAAAACACAAAGAATAACAGAAAAAACACCATCAAACAGAGAAAACGACAGTAAACCATCCCAATCTCAAACTATAACTATGGACAAGATCTTGTTAATACTAAATGAAATGAGAGGCGAAATGAGGGAAACTAGAGGTGAGATTAAAAAACTAAATGCAAAAGTAGATGAGACTAAATATGAACTTAGCTTTACCATAGATAGAACAATTGAACTATTAAAGAGACAGGTAGAAAACCAATTGGAAAAGGTAACTTACACAATTGATCAAAAAATAAATTATATTGATGATGATTTAAGGAGGGTAAAATCAGAAGGTGAACTAAGGGAGATAAAAATTATGCGCCGGGTGGAAGAACTTGTAGAATCCCAAAATGCTAACGTAACACAAATGATAGAGACAATAAAAAGTGACTTAATAGGAATCACTAATGACACCATTAGGGAACAAAAATCAAAAGAAAGGTATATTGAGGCTACAAACAGTAAGGAAATAATTATCACATACCAAGGGTCCCCAGAACAGTCGTTAAAACACTTGCAATTTGACGGACGACAAACAAACCCAATGATATTTCTAAACAAACTAAAAGCATACCTTAGTCGTGAAGAGAAAAAACGAACTAACATGATAGGAGTCGAGGATTCTGATCTAAAGGAAGTACTTGAAGGAATTTTTATTGGTACCGCAGCTTCTTGGTGGCAAATCATAAAGGATAGTATATGTAATATTGACGACTTTGAAAAAGCGTTCATAAATAAATACTGGAGTAAGGAGACTCAACGTGGATTAAAACAGAGAATAGAGATGGAAGAGTATAGGCCAGGAGGTAGATTAAGTCGTACCGAATACTTTATGGAAAAGGCGGTTCTCTTACGCTCAATGTCAGCCAATACTTTGGACGAGGAGGAAATAATAAGCTTGTTGTCAGGTCATTTTGGACAAAAGATTCAGGATGCTTGTAGTGTCCAGGGCATAACCACTATCAGTGCTATGGAAAAATTGTTAGACCGTGAGGACAACGAAGAGAAAAATAAAAGCTTAAAATTTCAAAATAACAGCTCTAAGTCAAACCAAACTTACAATCAACAACGCAGTAAAACACACCTCGTTGGAAATGAAGATTACAGACACGAGATAGAACGTCGAGACAGATACAACAACAGAAACCGAACAGAACAAAACTATCACCATAGATATGATAGACCACAAGCACACAAAGATAACATCAATGGCGAAAGACCAAACTACAGACAGAGAAATAATGAAACAAGACCTAACTATCCACAAAAGGAGCCATATAGATATCCTAGTGAGGAGCAAAGAAGAGTATGCTCTATGGTGTACCAGGGAAATTCTCAACCAGTGCCTTTAAACGAGAAAGCACCGAGACTTTCAGAGAATCGGGCCCCAACACAAACTTGTTAGGAAATCTAAGAGAATGTGTAGAAGCCTCGGTGCACAACATAACCACACCGCCCGAAATTCAAATAAAGACTGGAAAAGAACCAGACATAAAGAATACTAACTTTGAAAAAATATTAATAGGAAATGTATATTGTGATAGAGAATTTCTATTAACAGAAGATTTAGAAGTCCCTGAAAATTTAAATAGTAAAATTGTAAGATGTCCTGAAATAAAATTGAAATTACAGAACATAGAAATTAATGCACTGATTGACTCTGGTAGTAACGTAACTTGTGTACAAACTGAGTGGTTGGAAGCAAATCAAGATAAGATTAGTATAATAGGTCAATTACCTCTAACAAACGTAAATATTACTACTGCTACAGGTCAGAAAGGTAAACGTATAAATAAAATAGTTTTACTTGAAGCCACAATTTAAATACAACTGTTATGCTCCAATGTTTGGTAATACCAAGACTAATAAGAGAAATTATACTTGGAATGGATACAATCAAAGAGTTGAATATGAACCTTGACTTTGGAAGAAATAAGATATCAATTTACCATGGGAATCAAAACATATCTGTAAATTTAGAGGAGGTCAGTAGTAAAGTTATTGAGTGCAAAGTAATACATAACAATGACAATCTTCACAAAGATTGGGATGAAATAGAAACTAAGAAAAACACAGCTAACAATAACGAAATCATGATGACAAGTATAAATACTCAGGAAAACTTAACAAGTGAACAGAAAGACAAGTTAACCGAACTGTTTTCAAAGTACAATGAAGTATTTTCCGACCAACCTGGCCGTTGCACAAAATATAAACATGAGATTAAGGTGAAACATGACAAAGCATTTAAGCAACAAACTTATCCAATCCCATACAAATATCTAGATTCTGTAAAAAAGGAAATAGCTAGAATGGAAGGAGAAGGAATCATAGAAAGATGTGATAGTCCATATATAAATCCCATTGTACCAGTTATGAAAAAATCTGGAGAAGTGAGAGTATGTTTAGATGCTAGGAGAATAAATGAAATTATTACCCCAGACTATGAATGTAATAGAGGCATAAACGAACTGTTAATTAAAGGGAGAAAAACAAAATGGTTAACCACTTTAGATCTGTCTAGTGCATTTTGGCAAATTGAGCTAGCACTAGAATCAAGAAAGTATACAGCATTTCAATTTATGGGTAAAACTTACCAGTACTGTGTTACTCCATTCGGTTTGAATACTTCTTCTGCGGCTTTGGTTCGTGCTCTAAGCTTCGTATTTGACGATGAGGTAGATGATTTTACCATGGTTTACGCAGATGACATTCTTTGCTACTCACCTGATTTTGAAACTCATTTAAAACACTTAGAAACTATTTTCCTTAAGCTGAAGGTAGCTCATTGCTCTACAAAAAATAGCTAGGGTAACCAAAATAACCAATATTTTGAGTTGGAGTGTTGTAGGGTTTGATTCATTTATGTTTAGAACATTCTACATAATTAACTATCTAGGTTTTAAGGTTAAATATTTAACAGTGTAATATTTTAAATTAAAAATTATCTTTCCGTTTTGTTGTAACTTAATAACAACTGTGTTAGTTTTAAGAGTGAAAAGCAATAGTTTATTACTCTCAACAGTTTCATAACCAAAGATCCATTTTGATATGGTCTTCAAAGAACATAAAACGGTTTGTTTGGGTTGTTTCTGGCTATACACGACACGTTGCCCAGCTTCGAGACTCCAAACAACCAAATTCAAATCATATTTTTCTGTTTCAGATCCGAGGGGGCAGAGGGAAGTCCCTGGAGTCTCTGGAGGATGGGATGGCCGGAGGAGGAGGTACAAGCAGTTTTTCCCCAACACCGCTACCTCCTGGCTGGCGACCCAGGTCCTACGATGATGGAGATATCACCCCGACCAACGAGGCACTTCCGCTACACGAGGGAGGTGGAACACTTCCTAGGCCGAGGGGGCTGGTGCGGCCGAGACCCATAGCCAAGATACCAGCCACCTTCTGTCCGGCTAACAGACCCGAGTAAGTGTGCGGAAGTGTTTACATTATTTATAAACTTTAGTATCTTGGACACACAAATTTCAGCTGTGTCCTGTAATTATTATTACCAGGAAAGCTACGTGGAAAACACTCAATAGAATAGAATAGAAATCTTTATTTGCAATTGACATTATTCATGTATTAGCAACAGTCAAGAATATAACTAGTCAAAGGTCATAAAATATATAAGCCTACAAAAAACATAAGCTTACAAGCTAAAATACAGTTTTCTTCTCTAAAAACTCGAGGGAATAAAAGGGATTTTTTAAAAGCCAATTATATTTTTTTTACATTGAGTGAGTTGGATATGTTTGAGCAGTTTTACTGAGTTTGTTATATATTATCGTCGCAATCAAGAATAATGTGTTTTGCAGTCTCATAAGACTGGTTGCAAAGTCGACACTCCTGAATGTCATTGACAATTCCTAGAGTGTGGAGATGTTTCCTGAAATGGCCGTGTCCAGTGATAAGAGCAAATACCTGCTTGACCTGCCCTCACCCCAGCTTTAGCAGCCAGCGAGTGAAAGGGTGCTAGGTTCTGAGAGCAGTTTTTTGCTAAGTGATTGTTCAGGATAGTTACGCCAATGCTCTAGGTGTTGTCCCCTGGACCATTTGTTGATTGCATGTTTAGCGGCAGCTTTGCTGATGCCACAAAATGGCTCTGGTCCAAAGAATGGCATTTGACTTATTCCCTTGAGCTCCTAGGGCCTCGACAAACACTCTCCAGCGGTCTCTATGGTTTGCCAGTTCCTTTGCTCTAGCCCATGTCATGCCTTGTCCCTCCAACTCTCTCTCCACCGTCCGTCTCCAAGTGGTTCTTGGTTTCCCTCGTCTTCTGCTTCCTTGGGGGTTCCAGTCCAAGGCCTGTCTCGCCACTGTATCCTGAGATTGTTGTAGGATATGCCCGATCCACCTCCACTTTCTTCTTTTCTGCTGCCTTATAATAGGCTCTTGCTGGGTTCTAGCCCACACATCTTCATTGGAAATTACATCGGGCCACCATATGTTTACTATGGGTCTAAGGCATTTGTTGAGGAAGGTTTGGAGTTTTCTTGTGGCAACAGCTGTTATTTTCCTGGACTGCTCCTGAAGGCTCCAGTGGCCTGTAGCGTACCAATCCTTTGCAGGCTTTCTAGTTTGGCTATGACAGTTACCTGATTCACCTTTGTCCACCAGACTAGCAAACCATAGGTAATTTGAGGCATGACCACAGCCTCATATAGCCAGAGTGCTATGTGGGGTTTAATTCCCCAGTTGGTTCCTGCAAATCTCCTGGACGTCATGAGCGCCCATTTGGCCTTATGCAGTGCATTGTTCAAGTGGTTGTTCCATGTCAGCTTGGAGTCAAGTGTCAGTCCTAAATACTTGACTGAACTCGACACTCCCAGCTGAGTAGTGGCAATTTTCAGCCTGGAAAGAGAATCCAAACTCTTTTTCCTAGTGAAAGGAACTAGGACTGTCTTAGAGGGATTAATGTTAAGTCCCTCTCTGAGACACCATGCTTTAACATATTGCAGGTTGACATTCATGACATCAGCTACAATGTTTGTGAATTTTCCTTGTACCATGAGGACTATGTCATCTGCGTAGCCCTGGACAAAGATGCCCTTGCTGGTCAGTTCAGTTAAAAGACCGTCCACCACAAGGTTCCACAGTAAGGGTGAAAGTACACCTCCCTGTGGACATCCTTTTGTGGTTGCAATCACAATTTTTTCACCAAGAAAGTCAGCTATGGTGCGTCTTGATTAAGCATATACTCTGTCCTTCTGCACAAAGATTGCTCGAGTCCACACTCACAAACTCCCTGCACGTCTCCCTCACGACCCCAAAATGTTCATCCTAAACAAAACTGTGGCAACTTAAAATTACAAGGAATAGCAATAGAGCTCAAGTTCATGATTTTAACCCGCTGCTATTTGGACAAGGGTGAACCTTTTGACAATGAGGTTTGTAGCAGTGTGTTCTTGTGATAAATACCTTTAATTTGGTGTACTACTCAACCTATGCTCTCACAAGAGCTTCTTCTGACTCCTTGTGGACCCTCCTTATGATGGAAAAATATATATTTTCTTCAAAAAGTAGATTTGTGTTAAAGCTTTGTTGTATTATCTGAAATGCTTAAGTTATGAAACCTGAACTTTTTGTGTGGGCTACAATGTGTTGAAAAGTCCTTAATAATGTTTCAGGGACATGATGATGAACGTAGGCACGTTGAAGAGACTTCCTCCGTCACCACCAAAGAGACAGTCAGAGTGTGTTACCGTAGTGGCAGACTTGCATTGTCCTGCACCCAACACTTGGGCAGAAAGTGGCTTTAAGGTTGGTAACTCTTTTGTGTTGGTTGTTCATCTAGCAATGAAATATAAATTTAATTTCATGTTATGAGAAAACAAGAAGGGAAAACGACTAATTTGGTTACAAACATAACTGACTGTTCAATTGAGTTAATTAACGTTTATAGTTTTTGGTAAGATGGCTTTATGCCAGAGTTTGTTTAAGATTTTGTAATGGATAGTTTTAACAGCAGGCTTGCCTTACTAAAGAAAATAGACATATAAACATAGAATCTTTTAAGCTATTCGCTCCTTCAATACCTAGTAGAGTATTCGTTCTTGTGAAAAACAACATCTCCGTTACAAAATCAAATTGAGATTTTAATTCATAGTGATTTGCCACTAAAGCTGTTTGATAATATTATGTTATATGAGCCTACATATCAAATTTTCTGTCACATTTATATTTCTTCTATTAGTGGATGATCCAGGTATTTTTTTTATGAAGGCATCATTTCCACCAGTGCCTTTAAATAATCTATCTTACGATTTTGTCAATCGATTCACACAGTAAGAACGTATGAAACGACGACAACAAACATTGCCGTGAGTTAAACAACATTAACGTTAAGGCCCTGACGTATATGATTACGGCTTGACAGAATATGAAACCCAAGTATCTATTATAAGGGTTAGTCAGAGCCATGATAAAATCTATTATAAGGGTTAGTCAGAGCCATGATAAAAAAATTTGGTATGTACGTGAATATGAGAATATTAAACTGAAGTGCTCTTAGTTCCAAATGTTTAAACTGAAACTTATGTGCAACTTAATGGAAATGGGCTTGATAAACCCTTCATACTATTCTCAGTCTTTACTTAACTTGTAACAAAAATTTTTTAGATGTTACAAAACATTTTCATGATATCTGACAATTTAAAATCATTTTTTATAACTTGGCAAAGTCTATAGGTTTCATAATAACGATGAAAATGATGAAAATCCTTTAAAATTACTGTTAAATAAAATTAAATACCAATTTATAAAGATAGAATATATGTCATTACTTATGTTAATATTGACAATTCACATTCTTACTTTCATTACTAAATTTGTATGAATTTTCAGTCGAGTTCAAGTACTGAGTCAGATTCGCTGCCGTTCGCCAATGAAAATGCTGGAACGATAAAACAGCGAGCTGTTAGAAATGTAACAGGTGAGTTTTTGGATTTTCTGACTTCATAGAAGTAGAATTATGACGCACCATTTCTTCAACATGTTTACCGTATTGGTATTGAGAATTCATTAGTTATGGTAATGAAAAAAAAATTATTCTCTTTGTATCTATTAATCTCTGGGTTTAACAAAAAGAATGCTTTTGGCTGTCTAAATTCAATATTTAAAACTCTTCAAACCCATCTACTCGTTTGGACAAATCATATAAAGAATGAATTGTGCTCTACAAATGGAAACCCTGTGTAATCTAGTTTACATTTAATTGGTTTCTTTGCTTGAGATACAAAAATGTAACTTTTAGTTCTAGACAGTAAATGAATGTTTTTTTGAATTTTTTATACCACTTCTAATTAATTGCAGGAAGATTTTAAAGAAAATACTAGCTACATTATGACAGCAGATTTTAATCCCATTAATGTCACAATATTTCAACTGTACAAACTAATCTTAGTACCACCTAATTGTTACACAAAAGCAGTTGATAAATGTTCAACTAATTTCTTATCAAACTAACCATGTGTATATATTACAGATTTTGTTCCACCCATTCGAGTTCAACCTCCCTCAAATGAAAACACCTTGTCTATATCAAGGTATGTCTACAATGAAGGTTCAACTTTAAAACTTAAGTAATTTATTTAAAATAGATTGATCTCGATGGCCTAAACACCAAAGTGATTATAATTTAAATATCTAGTATACTGTGGGATTAGAAATGTTCTTTGTAGTTTTGAATTGTTCTCCTAGGTAGTCCATGGAAGCTAACGGCCATCTTGGATTTGCCCGCCATAAGAGCAATGTTAATTTCATTAATTTCAGGGCCGCCCCAAGGGCGGGGCGAGCGGGGCAACCGCCCTGGGCGCCGTGGCTAGGGGGGCGCCGTGGCTTTGGAAGGTTTAAAAGTTAACAACGTTATCGGCAAACGGCAAACAAATATTTTAGAGAAAACTCGTAAACATGTAATCAAAGACTATTCTAAAAAAGGCAATCTATACCTTTCGTTTTGTTCATAAAATAAATACCGTGTTATTTAATATAACCTACAACTTGTACTATTACTACTTTTACGTCTGGCATGTGACTTGTTGGCAATACTGCGAGTCTGAGACAAACATACTGACTGCGTATTCGCCCACACCAAGGCCCCACTTACACGCCACACCTCACCTACACTTGCTTGTTTCTAACCTCAAAGCTCAAATTCTTACATACTTTTCTACTCATAGTCATTGACTATATAACACTATGTTATAGTCTTTTCGTGATGTCCGTTGTGAGTCGTAAATTCAATGTTTTTAATAATTTAGTTCAGTGTAGTTGTTATATTTATAAAAGAAATACTTGCAAAACGTTTGATATCGATATATTGGACGTTGGGTCGATTGACGCAAACCCCCCCAAATACCTTGTTAGGGGAGGGGGCGAAAATTTAAATCTCGCCCCGGGTGTCTATTACCCTCGGGACGGCCCTGATTAATTTCAAACAGCTGCTGAAGAGTTACCATCTCAAAATATTTTTTTAAACACCAGAGTGATTGTAATTTAAATATCTAGTATACTGTGGGATTAGAAATTGTCTTTGTATTTCTTCTATTTTTTTACAAGCTAGAACCCAAGGACTCCTAAGGCTTTTAGAATCCTTACCCTTAAGAGTCTTCATCACCCTCGGTGTAGTTGCGTTTTGGGGATATGGCCTTGGGCGGAAGGTGTTGAGGGTGGGAGTGTAGTGCGGGGTCATTATGCGCGCCATTCTTAAAACATCGTAAACATACGACTACTAAATCGACACGTCGGTGATTCATCTGCCGCCTGAGCCTGGTTTTGTAAAAGGCTAGTAGCTTAGTAGCCTCTAAAAAAAATTTTTATTTCGTCTCCCATTTCGGCCACCGTTTTTCAACAAATTTTCTGGAAATTTGGTATCAACGTAGTTGAATATTAAAGCTCTTATACCTCAAAGGGTTGAAAATGAAAAAATAATTTAGTTTTATCAGTGTTTAAAAGTGACTCAATTTACGTCACTTTAACCCATTGGGGAAGGAATTAATGCGCTACCTGCAGCACCCTCTGGCGGCAATTAATTTTACCGAATTTGTAGACTTTTACTCTAACTGCTGTAGAAAGAAAACCTTAGGTAATAAATTAATAATTCTTTCACCATTTTGTTCACAGTAAAATTGTCTACAGAAAAGTGGTAATGGTTGGATAGTCAAAGTTCTAAACTAAAAAAAAATATATAGTATAAAGATTATAAAAATAAAAATTTTAAAAACAATATTTTGAAAGTAAACTTGATATACAAATTCCAAGATTAATCCAGACACCAAATAACACTACTATTATAAAGTTCAATCGATTCCCTACGTAGAAAAATCAAAAGTTGTGTACTTTTATAAGTAATAACATTTTTTTTTTATTGTTTGTTTACCTTACCGCAGCTGATTTTTGGTGATATGTAGTTTCCATGGCAACACAAAATTGTTTGTTATTCGCTAAAATAAATGAGTAAATACGCAAATCAAGAAGCAAGATATTTATAAACATTATAATAGTAAGAAGAAACAAAAAGGGCGAAAAATAATAATAACTAAATAACTAATGGCGCTGCCTAGCGGTGACACGTGCGGCACTCGTAAGTCGGCCGCCGGGCCTGCAGCGGCTGTACGAGTAACGCTCGTAAGTCGGCGCCAATGGGTTAAGATTTGTTTGTACTTATACTATTGATTTTATTGGATATATCATGTATGAGGGCCCTAGAACCCACATTAATCTGTAAGAGAAAAAAAATTTAACATTATGTCCTTACACATTAGATCTGGAGCAAGGGATGTCCAATGCATGTTTCTATTGTTTTCGCAGGGGTGTCTTATCTTGTCCAGTGTGATTAAAATAAAATGACTAATTTTGCTTACAGGAAAGAAGGCCAGGAGCCCGCTGATGTACTGAACGACATTGGTAACATGTTAGCCAACCTAACAGATGAACTGGATGCGATGCTTCTGGAAGAGAAACGGCAAGGGTTGACAGATGAATAAACCTCGAATCTGTCAAACGAGACTTTCCTTCATGGAACTCCTTTCCTTACGCAGGGCTTTTTCTTACAATCAGGAATTGTTTCCCTTAGAGTAGGGAATTTTCCCCTATGGATGGGAGGTTATTCTGTCGGTTCAGAATATTCAAGCAATACCTCATCATTGGCAATAGGGTTTCTTGAAACCTTCGCTTTCGTATATTTCATACATTTGTAAAATTTGGTTACAGCTTTGTAACTTTGTATGTAATTCGCTTAAGAGATTTGTAATTTTTCACATTGAAGGTAATGTGGGGTTTTTACCTTATATGACTTACAAGGCGTTTAATACTTAGTGAATTTTACAATCCGTTTCCATTAAGTTACAGTTTAACCGGGCTGGGAAGAGTATATTATGATTTTCGCTGGCCGAAATTGACCAAAGTCAAAACAGCTCGTTACAAACGTCTTTGTTGTACGGATGAATCTGCACATTTGTACATAGGATGTTTAGTTGTGATGTGTTGATTACTTGTGTTATGTTTTGTAAACTGAAACTAACTATTGAAATTAATTTTGGTTCAGTTTCAAGGTCAGTCAGCTTTAAGCTATTTTTTATGATAATATAAACATAGAAGTATTTACTTTTTAAAGCCAGCAAACATTTTAGAAAATCTTTTAAAGCCTTTTAGAACCTATTTTTGTTGATCAGTTGCAAAATATCAACATTTTTCATAAAGAAGTAATGACATTCAGTTATCACGCGACTATACCGGGTGATTCAAAATGAATGACCCGGTTTTAAACTAACTTTTATACTATTAAACTTACCGCTATGAAATACACATAAAAGGAAATCAACTCAAAGAGTTTATGCCTGCCAAAGACACATTATTTTTAAAAATCAATCCAGCAGAACTGTAGATTTTATTGTACAAAGTGAAAAAGTAATCTCCCACTTTTTTTACCACTAGAAATTTGGAGATTACTTGAGTCAATGACGTTTTTGCAAATAACTTTTAAATGGTGAGGAAATCGACCAAAGTGGAAGGTAATATTCCGAAAGAGAATAATATTTCCTAAAGTCTACTATTATGCATTTATTGAAAATACTCAATAAATGTAGCCTAAATTTGCCTTTAAAAAAAGTGTGCAATTTAATGTTTGATACTGTATGTCTATTGTCTACATTGAAGACGGGGATTTTCAATTTTTTTTTTCATTTTCAGGCAATTTTTGGCACCTTTCTTTTGAATATTTTCAAAAAATGCATAATAGTAGATTGTAGGAAATTGTATTTTCTCTCGGAATATTGCCTTCCACTTTGGTTGATTTCCTCACCATTTAAAAGTTGTTTGCAAAAATCTCAAGTAACCTTCAAATTTCTAGTGGTAAAACAGTTGTAAATTACTTTTTAACTTTGTACAATTAAATCTACAGTTCTGTTGGATCGATTTTGTTAAATAATGTGTCTTTGGAAGGCATAAACTCTTTGAGCTGCTTTTTCGTTTGATGTGTATTTTATAGCGGTAAGTTTAATAGTATAAAAGTTATAAAGCGTTAAAACTGGGTCATTCATTTTGAAACACCCGGTACATTAATTAAACCCAAACAATTACAGGGTCCCAATATTTACAACCACCAACTGGACACCCATGATTTTCCAGACCCATAGTCTGGATGCCCGAGAGGTTGTTTTGCTTGCCTTCTAATCTGAAGTTTACTGGTTCGATCCTAGACAATATTAATTACAGAATTTTCTGTATACAGATCCAGAATACATTTTTCATTTTGCTAACAAAAGTTTAATAATTGATGATAGATAAAACAAAGCTTGAACTGTTCCCTTTTAAAAGATAGGTATGAATAAAACAAATCAGTTTTATAAACTTTCATAGGAATAAACAATTCAGTTAGTGACTTAATTTTGGGTAACTGTTACCTAACTAATGTACCATTAGTTATTTCTGCCCGGTTTGTATAGAGAATGGTTTTGACACAATTTTTTTAAATTTGTTTATTGATTTTGTAAAGATTGCCCTAAAGTAAAAGAAAATACCCCCGCCGCAGCAAACCTGCAGACTAAGCAAATTTCAATTTTTTGCTTGATTGGATTTACACAAAAATATCTCCTTAAAAATATCACATTTATTCCCTATTTAAATAGCATTAATTTAACGAGTACTTAGGTTTGCTGCTACAGGAGGGTAAAAATGTGTGTTTTTTTTTGTAAAATGTTAATAGTTTAGAATGAAATGAATGCATTTTCCAAATTTGATCAAAATATGTTCATAAACAAGCAAACTACAACAGTTTACTATTCTCCATAAGAATAACATGGTAATTTTAAATTTTCAGTTTTTTGGAATTTTCTCCGTAACCATTAGGCGCATAATAACGCTTTGATATACTAAATTATTTGTTTTTTTAAGCTCTACAAAATGGTTTGGAAAGAAAATGTTAAATTTTAAGTTTTTAGGGTTAAAAATGGGAAAAACCAATTTTTACCCCATAAAACCCCCCATAAACACCTGTTCCCATAGTCCGATCATGCTGGTTCGCGAACTCATTCTAATAAACGTAGATTTACACGTTTGTACCAAATTTCATCAAAATCGGATGAGTTTTGCTTGAGTTATCGCGCTAACAGACACATATATAAATATATATATAAATATATATATATATATATATATGAATTTGAACGGATGGTGTTTTTGGCCTCTAGGGACCTCAAAACGAAAAAGTAAATCGGTCCCGGGTCCAGGTCTTTCCATGAGTACTACGGTAATAGCTTATTCCCTATATGGGAAATTCGCTAAAATGTGTATAGATAGAGCTTAAGTATTGCCAACATAAAACATATTCAAAGTCAATCTCTATGCACAAAACCCCTCCCAATTATTTAATCAAAAACTAAAAATTTGCTTACTGCATTATTTAACAGTCCAATAATAGCTATCAACACATTTTCAACAATATTTCGGTTTATTTAAAGCAGCGCTCAATACTAAATGATGCGAATTGTTGGCAGTTGCAAGGTTATGCACTAAGACATTTTATTGTTGCGAGTTTGCAACCGACATTAAATATCTTGAGATACAATTCTAATTTGTAAAAGTATTAAGTACATACTTTTCCCCTAATATTGCAAGGGCACAGATAAGTACAAAAATATTCACAAAATAATAATAACTAGTATACATGTTGCTCGAATTCGAGCAATTGCAAAGTGTTACAGGATTTATTTTAAAACGAATAACAGGCATATTTACAATTAATTTAAAAGAGTCAACTCAAGATTACCGGTCTGTAACTTAGATCATTATTGATAAACCTAAATCATTCCGGCCGGTTTTCTCCTTCTCAAAATACCTCGCTTTACAGGCAACACAGGTCATTGACAGAGGGCCAATTGAGAACGAAAAGTCGTTTTGGGGTAGTGTTAGGGTGCATTTGTAGCCAATAGTTGAGATTGTCCAGGGTCAGGTGCTGACTGTGATGAGTTAAACCTATTACGCGCCACTGTTCTGTAGCTGCGGTCGTTATCACGCCTCCTGTCTATGTTTCGTTGTCGTCACGTCGGAGGCATTTAAAAGAAGAAAAAAAATAAACAAATTATAGCTACACAAAACAACGATAAATGCACAAATTTAAGTTACAATCATGCTAACATGATCCGTCATAGCGACACAAAACAACGATAAATACACAAATTTAAGTTACAACCATACTAACACGATCCGTCTTGGGGGTTATGTTTAAACAAACTCAAATAGTAAATAAACGTACTCAATGTGTTACATTGAATTGAAAAATAAATAACAGCAGTTAAATTATACAGCTGATCAAAATGTAAACAATTATGTTCTTCATAAGGATAACATGGGAACTTTCAAAGCCACTGGGGCAGAGCCCAAGGGACTTTTTCAAAAATGTAAGGCCAGTTTGCAAATCTACGCGACACGCTCTTTCCAATGAGACGTCAATGGATAAAATCGGTTAAGAAATGGCGGAGGAGTTCAACCGACAAAGTTTCATGTAGCGTATTAATTATATAGATAAAATATGTCCTAATCATGTTTTAGCGAATTTTTCATTTAGGGAGTAAGCTATTCCTGTAGGTCTCAAGGTAAGACCTAGACCTGGGACCGATTTACTTTTTAGTTTTGGTAAAACTATTTAGGTACTAACATTTGATGGTACATAACTAACTACAGTTTGATGTTGTAGATATAAATCGTTGAACCTCTGATATTTTTTTAGAAACATCCTAAATCATTTACATGAAAACATAAACTTCTATGATCGTTGACTTACCTTGAAACTGCTATGTAATTTTTGTACAGATGTTATTTTTTATATTGTTTTTCGTCGGGCAAAATCCGTCCCGTTGTAAATAGGTGAAAAAATAGTTTTGATATCGATTCCTTTCCTAGCTAGAGCAGATGTATATGGTTTGTAGATCGCATAAAATCTTTATTGTACTTATGTTCCTGAATTGTTGGATGTATATTTTATTTTAATTACATTAGTCGTTTTGTTACAGTGTTTCTTGTAATTGTGAATAGAAAGACTGGAATTAAGAAGTTTAAAAGTTCGTAAGAACTCTGTACCATTCCTATTGTAATAAAGTAATTATGATTAATACAAATAAAATAGCAATTATAACAGTGTTGGTTTGGTTTTTCTCCTTTTGTTTTTCATATTCTATAATTATTTCTTTAAGTGTAAGGTAATTAAGTAGCTATAGTTTGATCTATTTTAAAACGTTCGATTTTATACTAAGTTCCCGATGAGCCAGAGACTTTAAACTTGAAACATAGCTCACAAATGGATGACAATGCAATATTATATAATTTAATTTTCATATTTCCGTTGGGCAACGCCCCATGGGCTTGTTTTTATAAACTCGCTTTCTTGCAAATTTTGATACTTCCCGATTATCAAGAGACTTGAAACTTGAAACATAGCTCACAAATGGATGACAATGCAATATTATATAATTTAATTTTCATATTTCCGTTGGGCAACGCCCCATGGGCTTGTTTTTATAAACTCGCTTTCTTGCAAATTTTGATACTTCCCGATTATCAAGAGACTTGAAACTTGAAACATAGCTCACAAATGGATGACAATGCAATATTATATCATTTAATTTTCATATTTCCCTTGGGCTACGCCCCATGGGCTTGTTTTTATTAGCTCGCTGGTCGCTTTCCTACAAATTTTGATATCAATCTTAAACAAAGTTCCCGATGAGCTAGAGACTTGAAATTTGAAACATAGCTCACAAATGGATGACAATGCAATATTATATAATTTAATTTTCATATTTCCCACGGGATAAGCCCCATGGGCTTCCACATTTTCCATGTTTACATTTTGAAAGAATGTAAACATATAAATTAATTTAAGTCAGCTGTAAATACTTAAATTTGACAGTTTGAAGAGCAAAGGTTAAGAGGTACAGGGTCTGCTCCAGATATATTCTAAAAATATAAAACAAGCATTTTAAAGTAAAGATAAAACATCTGATTAGAGATAATAAGGTTTTGGTTTGTTGTATTAATAGTCAACGGTTATATATTAACAGGCCATATAAAATATATTTAACATAATTACACATTAAAGACTAAAAAGTTGAAAATAATTTATAAATAAAAAACTTTTTTAAAACAAAAAGTTTTTAAACACACTAAAAAGTAGAAAATAATTTAGTTTATTCCAATTGTATTTTTTTGGAGGTTAAGGACTTTTTGATTCATAGTCCCACAAGCTGATTATAAATGAAAAAAGTATTAACTGTCTTCAATGAAAAAATGAAGGCTAACTTCATGCAGATTCTTTTACTTTTAAAAGACTACATGAGAAACTTAAATAACAAAAATTAAAATACAACTGATTATGTTCAAAATTAATTTACTTTATTTCTAAAATAATTTACTTTATTTCTAAAATTCCTCTCTTATAGAATATATTTTATAGGAAAACCAAAGTGGCTGACCATGGAGTTCAGTTAGCTTACCTGAGACAGTTTCTTGTGAGTCCAGGGGGTAATAGAAGTTAAAAAAAACCACAGAACACCTTTTAAAAATGACACTATAATTTGAGTAAAATATTGTAAAATTTAAAAGATTTGATAAACAATCTTTTGACATTTTCAAAGACATAAAAATCCTTAAAATTAATAGAGTATTTCTAGTCACAAAATAACTTCTAGGACAATGGTTGAAAAGTGAACTCAGATTTTTCCGAAGTCTTGATTACAAATATGGGTCAGTTGATTTTAACATCAATCAGCTGTTTTGTTGGCAAGATTGTAATTAGTCAGTTTTAGGTTGAAACACTAATCAAACAGCTGATTGACAATATCAGCTGATGAAGGCAAGGAGGAGCAGTTATTTAGAGAATGTTCACTAAATGAGACACCTCACTTCAAAGGGCTGACACTAAAATAGATCTAAGCAATCTGCTCCCGTAACTATTTATTAGAATGTCAATCACTTCATTTGACAAGTTGTTGACAAATGTTCAGAATGGTCTTGTATGTACTTTAAGAGAACTTTGTTAACCCTTAACCACGCAGGGGGGGGGGGGTATGACATACCCCTGTGTACATTAGGTAATTTTGTAATAATTTTATAAGTATGGTGGTAATTTATTTATTTATTTATTACTTGGTACAGCACATATACAATGAATTTATAATACAAAACTGCATAAGCCTTTGGCCAAGCCAAAGGCTTGTCTGCAGCGTTACTTATAATACTAATTGTCTTTTCCATCTTGATCTTGATCTTGAGTCAGTGTGAACTATTAACTGTACAAAAATATATTTCCTACTTCTTAAACAGTAACAAATTTGGCTTATGACCATTTTACATGATTACAAACAATTTAAATATTGAAGGGACAAAAAAAAGCTTCAGAAAAATAAACTAAATTCAAAAATAAGAACAAGTGTAAATGCAAGGAATCTTCTTAAAATTATTTAACACTAGCTGTTTGCCCGTTCTACGTACGGGAATCTTGTAGTAAGTTGAAACCTTATTCAGAACAGGAGTTGGTTTGCAAGTTTAGTGTTCATTTTTCCAGATATGCTGGCAAAACTATTACTGTATGGGAATACATATAAACCTTCGGAAATACAATATCTGACAGTTTCAAAGCTAAAACGAATGCTTCGTAATTAAATGTCACCCGATCGTGTGTTAGTCCATATTTTATATAATGATAAAAGGAATTGCTTTATAGATCTATGAGGCATATAGCCATAAGGTAGGCCTGTAATTGAAAGTTACTTTTCACACTTGTCAAAAGTATTTATAATACTACCTCAACCTCACTACTGCACACTTTATTCGGGTTGAAATTTCCATTAACAAAGGTGCTCTTGTCTTTTCCACGAAACTCTGAGAAATAAGGACATTAATAGGTTACCAACAGACATACACACACAAATACAGAATTGAATTAGGGGATTTGCAACGCTTTAACCAAAGCAAATTACAAACAAAATAGCTATTTGAAAGTCTTGATAGTGTCATAAAATTGTATGATAATCGTTTATAGGTCTAATCAAACTGTAAAATGTGTGTAAATCCGTTGGCAAATATATAAATAAGTAAATAAATAAACAGTCCACAAAACATTTATACGTTAACAACGCCAAGCTTCAAAAATTCATGATGGTTTGCTAAAAAAAATCTTTCACTAATGTTATTATCATTTTCATAGCATAAACTAACATTTTGGAGTCCCACCAATTAAATTTAATAAGAAATAAGGTGTTAACTATAATTAGTTGTAAATAGTGATGTGTTTGTACGTAAAAATGATTCTTACTGCTACCACCGGTTCGAAGGAAAAGTAGCAGTACCAAAAACCAACGTTTACATTTAAGAAAAGAACTATAGTACTTACGACCAATTAAAATTGTCCTTCTAATCAAACTGTACTATATAGGTGTTAATCCGTTATTGGCAAATAAATAAATACACAGGCCACAAAACATGTAACATGTAACGTTAACAACGCAAAGCCTTAAAAACTCACTATGGTTTGCTCAAAAAAACTTTCACTTGATGTGGTGCAGTACCGAAGTTATTAATCTCCCTTGGTTTTAAATTTATTTTTAAGTTTTTGAAAATCTAAGTTATTTCCCATTAATCATTATTTGTAAGCAACTTTTAATGTTAACATATTAATGGCAGTTTGAAGAAACCACCTTTATCCAAACAAAGGTTTCTTATTTAAAAGATTACGTAATCTCTAAACCGGTACATATATCTACAAACATTCGGAGGAGATGTGACAAAAAACGCACAAATCTGGCTGGGGTTTTGGACGTTTGTAGTTTTACTTCCTAAGTAAGAAAAGTACCGATATCGTTGTCGAAATATAAGTAGGGTCAACCGGGGCTAATATGAACAAAAAAAGTAAACTTTTGACATTAACTCAAAAATGGTAAATGACAGAAGAAAAGAAAAAATAGTAGTGTATACAGCTCTTTTAGCTGAATCTATTTATTTACTAACAAAAACCATAAATGTAACCATTATTTAAAAAAAAATTAAAAACCACTGTTCACATTAGCCCCGCTAAAAGGGGCTAATGTGAACAGCCCATGGGGCTAATGTGAACACTCTTAATAACTCTGTTATTTACAACACTAGGCATATGTGGGGGCTGTTGTGAACAAGCCTAGGGTCTAGTCTACCAGTTGCAATAAGTCTCAATATTTTATCTTAAATAGTTTTTGAGATATGAAGGTATCTTTGGAGAGCCGCGGGTCGCCCTACGGTAACCCTTTTTTTTAAAACCATTTATAAATATTATACAGGGCTAATAATAAGATATAAACAAGAAAAAAATTATCTGTCAACATACCTGAGTATTTATTAAAAATTTCTTCCACATACAAATTGTTTAAAGCACTTAAAAAAACAATAATTTAAGACAATGCAAATTGTTTGTTTAGGCAAATGACAGTTTATTGCACTTTTAGGCCTATTAGGTAAATATAAAAATGTGGACTAGGCCTATTCAACACCTTAACTGTTGTCTTTGTAAAATTAAAACTGTTTTATCACTGTAAGGCCTTCAAAGAAGTTTATTGAAGAACTTACACCTCAAAAACTTCGACAATTTTGTCGAAGACATACTTATGTCTATTGTATGTATATTGTATGTATATTGTTGTTCATAATAGCCCCATGTCACTGTTCACAATAGCCCCCATTCACTGTTCACATTAGCCCCCCAACTTTGAAAGCTTATAACTTTGGCTGTTATTAATATATTTTAACTTTGGGAAAAGGAAAATAATCCCCAATTCTTATTTAACAAAATTCAGGCTTAAGATTATTCCTACAACCAATGTAAAAATTGTTATAACAAAAGTTTTAACTTTGCGGGGAAAAGTTTTTTGGGCGGAAAAAAAGTGTTTTAACAAAGTATTTTTTTAAAGTACCTAAAAGTCAAATTTGAAGTTTTCTCATTATGGACACAAAAAATACGATAAATTTCCTTTCTAATTATATTTTTTTCATGATTAAAAATCCCAGATAAATGACTTTTTAAGCCATTGTTCATATTAGCCCCAATATTTTGGTGTGTTCATATTAGCCCCGATTGACCCTAAGTAGAAACCA